CCCTTCTGGCAGCCAGGGGAGGGGTCGATGGCTGTGGACAGCCGGCCGGTCCAGCCCGCACAGCAGGGGCAGTCAGTGACAGGAGCGTGGGCGGGGAATCAGGGGGTCTGAGCCAGAGAGGGAAGGTGGTGGTAGGGCTAACGGACCCACCGGGCTCGTGACAACGAGGTCACAGGATCCTGGGGCTGGGCTCGGAACTCTCTCTCCAGCCCGCCCGGGGCTACTCAGCTGGAACCGGAAAAGTCACTCTTCCTTGCCCAGCCCCCCTGCCCCCCCAGTGGTTACGACCTACCCAGCGAGGAGAGGAAGGGTCCAGCGGGAGGAAAAACTGTTGCTGGTTGCTAGTCAGGTCTTAAGAATCCCGGAAGAAACGAAAATTTATAGAAATTTTTCAAAAAAAAAAAAAAGTGACCTCCCCTCTTTGGCATAGTGATTGAGTTAAAATAACTCTGATTATTTTATTTCCTTTTTTTTTGTGGAATTAAGAAAACAAACAAAACTTCTAATCCCTGCTAACCACCAGCTTTAAGAGAAAAGAATGAGCCTGATATCTGCTGGAGAGTGAGTTTGATCCGAGGTTCTGCTCCAGGTGTGACCTGGGTGGGGCAGGCCTCAGCCTCCTCCCCTTCTGGGTCCCTGCTCCCCAAGGCTGAGCAACTTGAACTACATGTGCTTTCCCCAAATTTTGTCCTGGGGCTGGGCCCTGCAGAGAGCCCTCGACTAATTAGAAGCATCCTGTCAGTCTTGACTTGGAATTGAAAAAAAATAATGCTGAAATATTTATGACTTTGACATTTACAGTCAGGCGTCTTTTAAAAGCGGAACTGTACGGTGGCTGAGGTCACACAGGAGTGCTGGTAGCTGTGCACCCCAGGATGTAGGAGACACACACACACAAGCACTTAATGCTAAGTTCCAGATGCAGGAAAAGTATGGTTTTAAAAAATAATCAGGAATAATTAAGTCAATTTTATATCAGGTTAGATGTATCTTGACAGTAAACTGTGGTATAATATTGCATATTTCTTCCACTCAACCATTTCCACCTGCAACTCCTTGAATTTAGAATGTAAAATATTGCAGAAGCTATGATTTAAGATAAATGTGACCACAGAGACAATTTGTGGAATTGCTCTTAGGAATTAGAATCTACAGACGTTGTCCTGACCTATTTAAACTATTTTGATCTGTGCTTGTAAGTGAAGGTGCATGGGGCTTCCTTTACATTGTCTTCTGAGCCATTTATGGCAAAATATCTTCAAAACTTTTTTTCTTTAGCTGTCCATGTGGTAAGCTTAAAAGGAAAGAGAAAAAAAGAGAACATTTTATGCCCAAACTTGGTTGTGAGAACTAAGGCAGCACACAAACACAAAACTTCATGGTAACAAATATTTGTGGACCAGTAGCAACAGTGAGCGTTTTTCCAAGCCTGTGAACAGTTAACAATAGCAGCCCCGTGCCTAAGCCACTGACTTCAATTTTAAAATACACTTGTACCCAAAACTTATGGGCACAGGCATTTGATTTCATTACTATGGAACTTCTAACCTGTGCATGTTTTCATTTGTATCATTCCTAAGGACTTGGTTTTGCAAACCCAGCCTCATCCTATGTTCCTCTGCACCTTGACGTGACTATGATTGCAACGATCCCTTTGCCTGTAAAATCTAGAATTTGATTTTAGAGACTACTAATTAGTTGCTATCACAAATCGGTCTTTGCTTTCCCAGATGAAAAATTTTAGAATTATTTGGAAATTTCATGCTAGATTTACCAAAATGTACTTACTAAAATACAGTAACTATGACTCTAAAGCTGATCAAAAATTTTCATAGTTTTCAGGCCATGGGAATGACCAAACTTAAAAATACAGGGGGAGGGTAGTGTCTTAAAATATTTCAAGTGTATTTTTTAAAGCTGTTAACTGAACTATTTTTAATTTGGAATTTGCCACAGAATTCTCATAAATGAGAGAAGTCAGGCGGAAATAATCATGTATTAATTCTCTGCATTACAAAATCTTTTCAGAAGCTATTATCAGAGCAAGAGGCATTTCGGTCTGAATCCAGGGTGGGAGAAATCCTTTGTGCAAGTGAAAGCCATTGTTCCTATCACAGATGAAATTGTACTTGCAAATCTGCCATTCAAGTAGCCAAAAAAAAAAAAAAAAAAAGCCTATATAGGCAAGAGAAAAGAATGTCCAAGAAATAATTATTCTTAAATGAAAATAAGTGGGGATACCCTGTTTTAAAATAAGCCATTTGTTTATTTTTTTAGGCATAGACACAAATATAAATATGCAAAAGATAATAAATTGTCTATTTACCAGCTTTAAGCACTCCTAGAACATCAGTTTTCGGAAACTACTCTGTTGTAAGACATCAGAGAAGATTTACGATATTTATGTTTAAAGGGGGAAAACTACCGTTGTGTGAACTAATTTTTAGTAGAGCTTGATACATAGCAAATTGTCTCGGGGACAACAGAGAGCGACCAGCTGAGAACAGACCCGGAAAGATCAGCCCCCCAAGAGAAATCCTGCCCCTAGCCATCTTTCAGATTCTCCGCCGGCATTCTTACTACCAACAGACTCACACTCGGCCAATACACTTGATGCGTCCGCTCCCGACCCGTGTTTTCGGCGTGCAAATCGGTCCCCGAGGCCTGCTCTGACTCGCGCAGTAGCGCGCCTCCTCGGTCAGGTGTTTTCCCAGGCGCCGTGGTCTCAAGAAGTTTTCCCCGCAAGAACCAAACCCTCTTCAGGATTGGAGTTTTTGCCCATCCTCCTCCTCCGAGGCTAAGAAGCTCCATCCGAGACTCGACCAGCCTCACGGGTCAGGACCCCGCCGCCGCCGCGGTGCTACTTGGGGCACAGATCTGTTTTGGGGCCCTGCCGGGCTGGACGGACTGTGGGCTTTCTCACCTCCCCTGCCCGGTTCCCCCCCGCCCCCCACTTATTTACCGGAGCCCACAGAGGTCCGAAAGGTCAGGCCGCAGCGCGGGACAGGCCACAGCGCCCGGGCCGAGGGCTCCTGGGGGCCGCAAGTACTCACAGCACTGAGGGGTTTCCAAGAGGGCCCGGCCCCCTTCCCCAAGGGGACAATGCCGTGGCCCAGCCTCCCCGCCACAAAGCGCGCGGGCAGTGGGGCACCGGCTGAGGTCCCCAACAACGCCCGCATCCATCCACCCGGGAGCCGCACAGGCTCACCGCGCACGTCTCTGCGGCGCTCCCCCCACCACGGCCACCCCCTTCTTGGGAGCCAAGTGGGTGTGCTTGGTTGGGTGGGGGGCGTTTCCTCTTGGGTTGATAAAAAGAAATGAGCTTCCCACCCCCTCCTGCACACAAACCTTTACCTCCTCGCACTTTCGCTTGCATCTAAATTCGGGGAAGGCTGGCTGGGCAGAGACCACGTGGACACGCTGCGCCCTGGACCCCAGGCGGTGAGGCTCCGGGTGCCGAAGAGGGACCGCTGTCTGCGGACTTAGCTCGGGAACTGGAACCCAGAGCGGGAGGACGCGCAGGGGCAGGGGGCCGGAGGCAAGGCCGGAGCAGCAGGCCAGCCCCGCGGGGACCTGCGCAGAGAGGGTCCTTGCTGCCGTCGGGGTGTGCGTTCCGGGGCCCTGGCGACTGTGACAGAGACCCCCCCCAACCGTCCAGCGTGGAGCGCGGCGAGTTCAGCGCACTGTGACACAAAAGGGCGGGAGACTCTTTCCGGCCGTAAAAGCCAATTCTGCTGTGGTTTCAACCCCTAATTTTGGTGTCCGTCTGATTGCCTCGAGTGGAACTACTCTAGAACCTCGAAGGAGGCTACAGTTCAGAACCACACAGGTAGTTAAGGAAGGCAGGAAATGAAGTCCCTCCTTCAGAAGTTTCTCTCCGCAAGCACGCGGCCGCCTCACCTCGGGGGGACCGAGAAAGCGCAGGTTCCATTTGGGGGAGGGGAGGTGGCCACTCCGAGACGCTTCTCCAACTGGTGCGCGCGCGGGGGGGGGGGTGCTCAAAAGATCCTGCAATCTCACCCACGACCCCACCTGCTCCTCGATCGCTCTTCCCTGCGTACCCATCCCGTGCCCCTTAACTGAAACACCCCATGGCACACAGGCGCGAGCCCCGACCAAAAGAGGACAGTGAAGAGCGCCCCAAAAGGGGCGGGAGGAAAATGTCCCCGCGTTGGCTCCCCTCCATCCTGGCTGCCTCTTCTTTTCCCACACCCCTGCCCATCAGCGTGTGCTCCGTTCCCCACCCCCCCCCCACGCCCCTCTCTCTTGATGGTCTGAACTACCCGGGTGGCGAGGGGAAGTCCAAGAACGAGGGCCCCAGCCCAGTCCTGCCAGTCTCCAAGGGGCGGGGGGCGGGTAGGACAGCTGCCACCCCCTCTCAATCTCTGCACCACCAACTGGGTCACCCTGGGATATTTAACCAAAACCCACTGGGGGATGACCTCAGACCTCCCTCCGCCAGCCAGAGCCTTTGACAGGTGTCCTGCTTCGAGTCTGAGTTAGCCCCTGCCCTGGGCTCTCCGACGTCCAGGTTGCCCATCCAAGCCCCCAAGCGCACCCTCCACCCTCCCCAAGCTCTGGTTCCGCGCCCTGCTACCTACCCGCCTGGCGGTGCCCTCGGTGGGTCCCTCCTGCTTCCTCCCTCCCCCACCCCAGCCTCTCTCCTTTCTCCTGCAACCCTACCGGTGCCCGCGCCCCGGCCCCGAGCTCCTGGTTACCTGCAGAGGGGCCGGTGCCCAGCGCCCAAGCCGGAGGGGGGCGGGGGCGTGCGCCGGGCCGAACAGCCTCGGGGCGCGGCGGCCGCGGGCAGCGGCGGCGCCATCACCACGGCTAGCCGTTTCCCTGCGCCCGAGCCACAGACGAGCGGGTCCATCCTGCTTCTGACCACAAACTTCTCGGGAGGCCGGCGTAGACAAAGGTGCCGTGCGTCGTGGCTCCAGCGGCGGCTGCAGCACCCGCTCTCAGCCCGCGGGCGCCGGCAGCTCTGCGCGGCCGCT